ATAGCGAATTCGGTTGCTTGCACTAGTGTGCACTGAGTGCGCACTAAGGCTTGTTCATAGTATGTTATTATATTTAAAGATTGTCTTAAATAATTCTCAAATAAATTCTCAAATATTTTTAACCATAATATGATATGTATAACATCCGTACGAATCATTTTATTAGTTAAAATGTTTTTAAATATGTATTTAATACACGATCTTAAATATAAGAATGTACTGTAAACAAGCCTTAATGCGCACTCAGTGCGCACTAGTGCAAGCTATCGAATTCGCTATAAGTCAACTTCCGAGCTCAAAACGTGTCCTAACAGCTCGAGTCTAGAAGAATGACGCGTTTAAGGAGAAAGATTCTTGAAATTATCTCAAAGTCTAATCTTTCTTTATGTTTAACGAAAAGAAAGAGAAATTAGGAAGAATGCAGTATACTTGAACTTTTTCCAAACAGTCTTGACGAGTTGTTCCCGCGAAATTAATACAGCCGGGACGTTTATTTCGTGATTTTATTCTTGTGGAGATATATATTGTTGCTGAAAGCATAACACTCGGATATATGTGCTGCGTGTATATATGCATACGTTGCGGATAAATTACGATAAATAATCCAATAGCGATTAAAGCAACAAATTTATTAAGCGACATAGCCGGTGATTTATAAATCGTCGTGATTGCGGCATCTACATCGCCGTGTGTACTAATTTGTAACCGCGCGCATTCAACGGACACATTTGGCGCGCTTCATTTTTATTTGTCGAGAAGCACCCCTGCGCGCGCCGCATTAATCCGAGCAATGAAGATCGCGAGTAGGTACAACCGCGGCTCGTTTATTTCCCCGGCGCACTCTCGTGTTTCAAACGGTGAAATATTTTCCATCGAACTCCGCGAAAATGTATCCAATTAAAAAACTGCCGTTAATCGTTTCGCTGTGCGCGATGCGGAGTACGCGCGATTCTACACGATGTAACGATTATCGATCCACCATTCGCCGTGATATGGCACAACTCTCCCCCCCTCATGCAACTCCCTTCCCCTCCCAGCCCTCGCCGCCCCAACAGTCGATCCAGTCGATCTCGGTAAACCCCAAAAGCGGCACGCTACAACAAATCGCAATTAACAAGTATTCACGAAAATCAATAATATACCCTCCCACCGGCAACAACTCCATTATTCGACGGAGTAGCGCGGTTTTCCGCGCGTTTTCTCGCCCGAAAAACTCTCTCTACGTTCCTCGTGCCGGTGGTGGAACGCACGGAGGATATTATCCACACAACGCTCTCGGGACGCTTTCTCGTCCGCCAAGGGGTTGTAATAAGCCGCGATTGTCGCGAGTGGCCGCTCTGCGAGATCGTGTCGCAGAGGCTCAAATGGTCTCGAGCGAGCCTCGTGTGACTGATTGTCGCATACACAGCCACGTTATAATAAACGACAAGACTTGCGACTCCCCATCACCCGTGCCTCCCCGAGATCGCGGGAATAATGTGCGCCGCGGCACGTGGGAAATTCCTAGGCTGTATCCGCCTGGCGCGTGAAGAAAGAGGGGACCTTCATGCATTCGTAAGTGTTGAAGAAATAAAGATACCTAAGATTTCCCATGTGTCGCCAATTTGTTAACTTCGCCGACTCCGCGGTCCCGCGTGGCTCAACCGTCGTGACGCATCTAATTTCACCCGTGGATTAGTCGCTTGTTATATACATACATACATACATACATACATACATATATATATATATATATATATATACCGCGAAATAAGCTCAGGGACTATGATTTGAGGGGGAGGGAAGACGGGAGCCACGTCGCGGATAAATTCTAATGAAATTTTAACCCGGCGATCATTTGCGCCAGATTAGGGCTGTTACTTCTAATGTCGGTTGCACAGACCGCGCGATTAGCGTAATTAAATTGTAGTCACCGTTATCGATTCCGAGAATTCGTACGAACGCCGTCTCGCATAAAGGAATAAACCGCGAAACAACGGCAGTGAACAACGCCGGACTTTTGCGACTCGCGTAGCGGCGGTTTTCAAGCGCGGCGTTAAGAGTCACGGTGGTCGCGCAATTTTTGCCGTGTTAGTTTCGCGCTACTTTCACGAAATTTCTGCGATTCCCGGTGCTGCGCGTAGCCGCACGCTTTCTGGAACGCGTGATTTCTGTAAGTAAATTTCCGAGGCAAACAGAGCTTAAAATTATAAACCAGAGGCGAGTATTGGGCGAAAAGTTTTCTGCAAATGAACGCTTTCCCCATGTGGCTCGCACACTGACGCAACGTTGTGACTGACGCACACCGGCGCAGCTTTGTGTGTGTGCGTATCACGGGCAAACAAGCCGAGAGTTGCACGCGCGATATCTGTATGCGTATTCTGTCCGCGTGCATAAACGTCACTGTGTGTGTGAGTGTGTGTGTGTGCCAGCCTGCATAATGCGAGCTGCCGGCGAGCCTACAAGTGCCAGCGTACGATGACATTTCCACGTTTGGTTGAAAATATACGCGCCTGTCTCCTCGTAGGGCTATCCCAAAAATTAGAGCATAGAAGACATCTTCGGAGAGAGGGAGGGAGGGAGCGTAGCGTTAGCACGTTGGCTGATATGGTAAATTCGCGTGTGCACGTGCGAATCGGGAAAATGTACGTTTGCGTTTATGCTCGGCGATAAAATGAACGGTGTATTTCTGAGCGGGCTCTTATACCGACACAGGAGATAAGAAAGAGAGAACACTAAGGAATAAACACAAGAAATAAACTTTACGTTTTTCTTTATACGTGCGCAGAAATATCGTCGGGAATTTGCGAAACTTTCGCGATATCGTTTCAGAACGTTTATGTTTGTTGCAAACATGAAAGACGCCGAGAAGTGAGAGGTAATGATTAATTGGACGATTTCTTTCTCCTAAGTTTTCTATACATTTCTATTCTCCTATAGTAAATGCGTGTGAGTGAGAAGCGCATTTTGAAGTTAAACCCCGGAGAATTGCAAGCCGGTTGTGTTTAGCGTAACTTTCCGGAACTTTCATCGCAGTGAAGATTTTCATGCGCGCGCGCGATCCGTGAGTATTTTCCTAGGTGAATAAACGTAGATGGACACTCAACAAGTGAAAGCTCTCATGCCCTCTTAAATGAACGCGTGACTTATTACGTGACAAATTAACTGCTGGATGCTTTGAGTGGAACGAACTATTCATAAACGTCAGCATGGAAAGAACCGTACAAATGCACATGCAAATTGACCTACGCCAAGAAAAATGTACGTGAAGTTCCAGGAGTTTAAGTTAAGTCTTCATTGGCTAACAGACAATTGCTGGGCATCAATCGATTAAAATTTTCCTTGACTAAAACAATCGGTAAGTCGATTATCAGAATTAATCAATCGTCATATATGCAATAATTTAGTCGATGATGAAATTAAGTGAAATTAATTATTAATCAATATATAATCGACTACATTTTCATTAATAACTAATTTCATCAATTGATGAGTGAATGAACGAAATTATTTGTGACTTTATACATGACGATTGATTAATTTTGGTCATTGATTATTTTAGTCAAAGAAAATATTATTCTATTTATGCGCAACGC